GGATTGAGTAGAGGTTTCACTTTCGTTATCGATATCACTTTGATAATCTGAAGTTTCAATGTGATAACTTTCTCTTTTCTTAAAGTCATTATCAGTATCGTATTCCAATTCTTCATCAATCATTTGGTCAATTTCTTCATCAAATACAATAGTTGGTGTTCTATTTTCTACGACACATTGTACTGGAACAATAACTTTGTCAAGACCGCTTGTTATGAGTATTTCATTATTGTCAAAATCTATATTAACTTTATTTTTCTTGCACCAATCTATTCCTAGTAATTAGGTTTCATCTGTTGATTTGATGACATAAAAGGTTGTTTTAATAAGAATTCCATAAATAATCAAAGGTACATTTTTGATCACTCCTAATGCTCTTTCTCTTTGCCTATTAGCTGTAACAATAATCACTTGTGATGCTTCTTAAATTGTCAATCTAAGTTTTTTCATTAGCTTTTTCATTATAATGCTAACTGCTGCTCTAGTATTAATGATTGCTACTACTGAGTTCTGTTTGATGTTAACATGACATTTCAATGACATAGTTCTTTCACCTTCTTCTGTCAGATTAGTTTGTGCTATATTTCCTTCTAATTTTGGTCGTCTCATTCCTTGGAGAAGTTTTCTTTGTTGCTCTCTGCATTGCATCATTTGTCCAATGTTGACATTTGCTTTTACATTAACAAGGTCATCCCAAATGTTATATGGTTTGATATTATCCAAGATTGATGGTCCTCTTGGTATTCTTCTTCTTGGCGTAGTAGTGTTATTGACTATAGTCTCAGGAATTTCTTCAGTAATATCCATAGGTTCATTTGTTTTACTTCTGGTCTTTCTGGTTGTAGTTTCTCTTTGAGATTCAGATCTCTTTCTTCTAATTGCTGGAAAGACTTCTTGTTCAAGCATGTTTACTTCTCTTTTGTTTGAATCATTATTCTTTGTACGCCAACTTTCTTGAGTCATAACTTTTTCTAAGAGACATCTTCTTGCGATGTGTCCCTTTTCTCTGCATCTAAAGCAGATTACTTCTTTCCTGTCGAAGTTTCTTTCAAAGTTAGGTTTCTTTCTTTCAACATTATTGGTTGTCAAGGCTGACATAATATTAACTTAGTTCAATGCCATTTGTTCAAACTGCTTAGTTAATTTTTCAAGTTCGTCCTCAACTTTTGGCTTGCTAAAATCATGTTCTGTGGCATAATATCTTCCTGCTTCAACAGTTTTCGCTTGAGTGATTGCAGCATCTAATGTATTAGGATCTGAATAGCTACCAAAGTTGCTAGCTCTTTATTCAATCCATTTAAAAACATTTGCACTTTAAAGGCGTCAGGAATTCCTTCTGCATCCACTCTACTTGCTAATTTCTTGAATCTAGATGCATAGGTTTCAACTTTGTCTCTTCCTTGTTTCAGGTTCATTAATTCATATTGCCACATATGCAACTTTTCTTGAGATGAAAATCGAGTTAAAAATCTTTCTCTGAATCCTATATTAGCATATCCATCCCATCGGTCAATTTTTCCATTTATTAGATTATACCAGTCAGCTGCTTCGCCTCTTAGCATTCCTGCTGCGATAGCTATTCTTCTATTGTCTGGCCATCCATTAGCTGCTTGTACTCTTAAGAAAGTTTCAACCCATTCTTGAGCATCTTCACTATCTTTTCCATAGTAAGGGTCGATTTTTACGATTGAACCTCCTGCTGCAGGTGGTGCTGGTATATTAATTCCATTGAATCCATTTGTCATAGTAGTAGTCATTTGAGTAATCAAGGCCGTGAGTTGATCTGCTGTCATTGCCATATTTGCAGTATTTTCTGGGGGTAATTGGAAGTGGTTGGTGTTGTATAGTGTGAT